CCGAAATTTCAAACGCCCACGTAAATAAATGAACGGCCGCGCATACTTCATTGTGGGAAATTTTCCTGCTTGAAGGATCTCCGTTAATCTCGCGCATCTATTTATCATAAGCCACCGTATGCGAGATAACGCCGGTGAAACGTGGCGCACGTGAGAGAACGTATGCGAACGCAGCGAAAAAATAGCGGACTACGATGAAACCGGAACGGAGCCTCGATTAAACATTTACAGCGACGATAATTATACGATTTATAAATGAAACTGTGGAAACGAGAGAGATGTTCTTCAACCCTTTCGCTAAGGCACGCTTGAGACAAACAGTTCGATGCAAATGAAACAGAGCTTCTTTTCTTTTTTTTTTTAAATGAAAGTTTAGATACAATTGCGTTTCTTTAAAAAATAATTTATACGATCGAAATCATTTCTAGGTGATTCTATACTTTTCCCAACGATTAAGTAGTTTCATTGTTCTGAATTTGTAAAAGTGATTAATTACTGAATTAAAAACTTCTTTCAATGCTGCTTTTACAGTGTCTTCATTTTGGAATAATTTAGTTATTTAAAAAATTGTTCTGTTTTTGAGAATTTCGTATTCTTCGCCGTGAAAATAAAACGTTATCATCCCAGGCCCTATCTAGCCTTCTTCTTGGCTCATTTCCAATGAAAAAGCACCAATCTTGAAATTTTCACACCGACGTTAAGGTGTCTTAAGATTTGCATAACCTCCTTCAATTGATAAATTTATATTTTCACCATTTTTAGCACAGTTTTTTCAAGCTTAAACCTACGTAAAAATATTACGCGAATATCTCGATTACTCATCACGTCAGATAATAATTGTTCAAACAATTGTATAACAAATTCTTTTTTTCACTATTCAATACACGCGCACTTCTCGACTGCTGTGTATAAAAACTGCTGTGTATCGACCCGGCAATTTCAGCTATTAAAAAAAACACTTCATTTTCACCAACTTAATACACTCTTCCTAACTGAGTGACCACTTTCACAGAGTGTATACGTATACTGGCGTTCGTAGCGAAAGGGTTAATTGACGAAACATTTCGCGAGCGGCATATAAAGGGAATCAGACTTTAATCCAATAAATTTGTCGGTTAGTTATAAATTTTCTGCGAATTAAGTTGAACGGCTTATTACTTTCTGGTTCGAATGCAATAAGGGACTTTCCACTTTATAATCGCGCGCCACCAAAAGTAGCATCCGCGAGTTTCTCACGGGGCTATGTGTACAGAGAATATAATTTTCTCGATAAATTCAAGTTATACAGGCAATTCCCATGGCAAGATGAGCGGAGGGGGGTGCGCAAAAAGTACTAACGGCCAGTGCTTTGAAAGTATAAAGTTTTAACTTTATCTCAAGCTGCCTACCGGAGATTGCAAATATATGTCGTCTCGTTTCCTAGAATCTCGTTAGCGCGATATTTTCCAGAATTTAATTTAAACAATCTTTGAGGCAGTACGGTATTAACCAGGGATTAAGTTTCCTTTTCGAGGGCTGATTTACCACGAATGAAATTGTGTAGTATATTAAAAATTAGGTAATGCGATGTGCTAGAATTGTTCGAAAGTTACGAAAGAGATGATAGACTCTAACGTGATAAACTTTCGATTTCTCTTCGAGGTTAAAGAGACTCTTGCTTCGAGATGTTTATGTTTATCTATCTATACGACAAAGGCGAGCTACGTTTATCTTCGCAGTAATTTGAAATGTTTGGAACAGTATAATTCGATTACACAAAATTGACCATTCTATGTCTGTTGATATTTTACATTGTTAATTGAGCCGCTCATTTGGTAAATCGGTTAACTCCACAAAACAAAAAGAAGCGAAAATTGATGAAATTATATATTACACATCAAATATAAATATTTATACCGTTGCATTAAAAAATTACTTACAATTAGCTAAATTTTTATAAGCGTACGAATTACATTATTAAACGATTTAAATAAATTTTTGGTGTCAGTTTGGCATTTAGTGGTGTTAAGCTTAATTACTACGGAAATTTATTTTAAATATAAAAAGGTAAGCATCGATCAAATTTAAAAAAATTCCAAAGTGGAGTTAACCACTTTGACCTGTGAACAGCTCAATTTTAAACACTTGACAGGTTCAGATGTAAATAGTGAAATATAAAAATAAATAAAAACACTCGTTTCATGCCAATTACGAAAATACTACTCACCACCCAGATCTGCAAAGAATATTTCACGTAATGCTAGAAATTCCTCCTCCACTGGAATATCAGGTCTTCCGAAAGAGTTGTTTTCAGGCCACACTTCTCTGCAAAACGATTTTCAAGTTTCTTTCTTTAGTGACACGATAGTAAGTGAAAGGTCCGAAATTTAATTGTATTGTATAATATCACAATTTTTCATATTACTTAAATGTTGCAAAATATGCTGTTTCTCTAATATTCTTAGAAACACTTTTGACAGAATCGTTACCTATACTTCACAAAAGTATAATGAAATAAGTAGAAAATATTTACCAGCGAGGAGGTCAATAATTAAATTTAGCCAGCATGCTAATGAGTGAAATATACATATGCATGAGGAATATGCAAAGGTTGTTTACAGTACAAGGGAATAATCGAAGAGCTTCTTTAATGAGGCAAAAACTAAGGAAGAGACTATCGGTGAGTACATATATGTACATATATACTTTTATGACAGATATGTAGCTTGAAAAATAAGGTAAAATTGAGAGAGAGCAGTTTCGATAATAACACGATACTAATTGACTCAAATAATCTACACAATCGTGTATTTCATTATCTCCCTGAAAATTAGAATACATCACACATGCCAAATATACGTTTAAGTGAACAATAATTTTCCAAGCTTCCCTGGCAACTTATTTCAAAGTAAAACTACGAAGACTGTACACTTCGAATATAGATATTAAAAAATCTCTCATATCAAGCACATTTGAGTGCTACAAATTAAGTATAAACATTCTCAACGCAAACAATTAAAAAAAAACGCACAACGTAAGTACACTGTCAACAGTCTTTCACAAATCTTACTGGAAACGTACCGGAAAAAGCGTAACGTATATATCCTACAATGAGATTAGTACGATTAAACAAAGCGAGACACCTAATGACGTGTTTCACTATCTTGAGTAGCATACGTAACCAAGATACCGGAAGACGAGAATGCTCAATGGGTCTCGTAGAAGGCTCCCTTGAGCACAAGAGCCTCACCACGATCTACACCAACATCCGGGGCTGGTTGCGTCAAATGTTCACGCCCAACCCTTCTCCATTCTTCCATCCACCTTCGACCAACGTCTTTTCGCCAGCGTACATACATCACCCTTCGCGAAGTACCTGTGTTCTAGAGCATCTAGAGATAGAAGACGGTGAAGCCTTGGCCCGAGGCAAGGTGAATGGATAGAAAGCTGTGTAAAAAGAAAGATTTCCGTGAAGACAAGAGGCACAGGTGACTCGTGATGCACAGAAATGTTGCTGAAATTTATTTCCAACGCTTGTCTCCAGAAGAGAATACTTTTTCGTTGATACCCCTCCTCGTCAAATGCAAATTTTAATTTATGCGTCGCGCATACAAAACAGATATGCAAATTTCCCCGGTTACTTGCAACAGCGTACTTGCCAAAGGGAAACGTAATATAAAGAAAATGACGAGGTATGATTTTCTTGTATACTTGATCAGCTATACTCTGTCATTTGTATGGGTAAAGAAGCTTTGGGATTCTTTTGACGTTGCTGATATTTGTGAACTGATTGGCAATGGAACAATGTTGGAAGAGTATATGTTCTTTTTCAAGGTTCACGTGTAAGAAATAACAAGCGGCGGAAAATCGTGGAGCAAAATAGACGCACCAAGGAGAACTATACCAGTGGATTTGCTAAACAGAGCAGAGTAAATACTGATTGCTTCACATGAAAGTTGCTCTTCATAAAGCTTTTTGCAATTTCATAAGAACCGGAAAGAACCGGGCCGTTTCACGAAAGTTCTATTCCCTGTGAGAATCCAAAAGCATCAAGGAAAGGAGAAAGTCGCTGTACGTGACCAGAGGACAAAGGTAAAATCACGCCTTCACCTTGGCGGAGCACTCATGGAAAAGGGTGTAGTTAATGGTGGAAGATTCCTAACCCTGTGCTAGATGGCGGCTGGCTTTTCAAGAAGTCTTCACCTGCCTTGAATTTTCATTAAAAAACTGCGGCACGTAGAAATATTCTGAAGAGTGGAAAGCTTCAAAGAGAACGCTAGAGACGAGGAAACGTGATTGGACAACGAAGTCGATTTTAGAATTGTGTATAGCGCTCGTGTTTGCTAGATAAACTTGCGTTACATCACCTTGCTATTGTTTGCTGTTCTACCTTACGAAGAACATGAAACAGACGTTCTGCTCGACAAACGTGTAACCTCCGAGATCAGCATTTGAAAAACAATTGTTTACATTCGCGGTAACAAATATGTTGACATTTTTTATTAAGCATTTTGAAAACGAAAGTTTGACAGATTTTAAACGAAGTAAAAACAGTTATAGTTGTCAATTTAAAATATCTATTTGAACCACTATTACGCGAAAACCATTGCAAATTTAAAAAATCTATTTCAGCCGTCATACTGCATACAAAAAATAATATTTCTTGCAAATCTATCACTTGTGAGAAAAACACTGGACACTAATAACGTGAACACCCTGTATATTTTTACTAATATATGATACTAACTTTGCCGAAGAAATGTAATTTAAATATAATACTTGCAAAATTAAAATATCCTTAGAATAGAATAATACCCTCTTTTTAAAATATAATACTTATACCTTAAAATATAATGCCCTCACCTATATCATACTATAATTTACTGTTCTATTTCTACAAGTACCGATGTCGCAGATACAAGAAACGTATGCACAAGCAAAGAAATTAAAAAAAGAAAAAAAAACGCATTACAAGAAAACATTTGCAACATACATACAAGAACATACAAATAATCCGTACATGGAGTACGTCAAGCCGTAGGTCAGAAAAGTCTGGCTACTTTCGAAAGTGCAAAATCCCTGACTTGGAGGGAGAATCCAATAAGCGAGTGGCAGAAGGGTGAAGATGCAGAAGAAGGGAGTGGAAAGGTGAGGGAGGGATGCGTGCTGTCCCCAGGGCAGAAGAAGTGGCTCGTACGAGGCTGCTGCTGGTGGCTGTCTGAATAGAAATCCAGTACCATACAATCCCTATTATCCCTCGATTTGAAGTCCCGCGACAATGGAATCTCTCAGACGCGCCTCAACCAACCCTCCAATTCTGTCGTCCGAACTGGCTCCTTTGCCAGATACTGAACGAATAATTTCGATGCGTCGATTCTCGTCCTTGAACTCGAAAAACACGCGAAATCTAATTCATCTTTCATCTACAAACTGAACAAGTCCAATCTATTTTCCAAAAATTGATCCTGTCTATGTACGCTTTGAACTAACTTACTATTTCTGATCTAATAAATTTGATTTGTTACATTAAACAAATTAATATTTTTAACCCTTTACGGTCCTATGTCGAGTTTAGACATGCTGACTCCTGACGTAGGAGTTTTTACCTTTGGATATTGTATAATGAAAAATTACAAATTACAATTGATAAAAAATCATATTTTTAGGCATTATGAAACTGAATATTTTGTAATTAATATTAGGCTGAAATATTGAAATAAAAGCAAACTACGCGATATTACCGGACAATGGCCAAATGATTGCGGACTAACTGGATTATTCGGACCACAAAGGGGTAAAATTGTTAATTATTAGTTACTCCCGCTTTGACGTGACGTACTGAGAAAGTTTGTGTGAAAGAAGGATTTAAGAGAAACTCTTTTAATATATAAAAATTACTCGTATTTGTTTTCTATGTATGTAATACGCGAAGAAAAAGTAGCTAATAATTAATGCAAAACAACTAATAACGAGAAGTATAAGTGTCTGCAAATGACGACAACAATGAAATACAATATTCGCTAAATTATCGTCGGTCCACCGGTAATTCACTTTCATCAGAAATTCGATATGATCTCGATAAATAATTTCACCCGCTTATCTCAATTAGCAATTTTCATTTGCTTCTAATTAAAGAAGCAGAACCTATCCTCGAAGCTCGGGGAAATTGCAACTTTTAATATGCAAATAAAACTTTGTTGATCATGTGCCGCACTTCTCATTTAACACAAAAAGGAGGTAGAAGCTGCCGCTTCTTCCCCTTAATTATCCTGTGACTTTGAGTTATCCAAACGTAAGCCAAAGTCAGCACACTTTGCCGGTGGCACCGATGCAGACGGTGTAAGTAGAAAATTAGAGGGTTTGAGTCAGTATCCAAACGATGAAGAGTATTTACTAGGCAAACGAAACGCGATCACTGCAAGCTCCCCCGTCTACCTCAAGGACAAGCTGCACACTATATATATGTATAAGAACAAAAGGAAATTCAAGGCATTACATTGTTTACCGTAATACTACCGGATTACCATAAATGTGTTATTAATATCTGCTACTCTGAGCCTACGTCTATACGCTCCACAGTCAACAGTCTGCTGCTTCCTTTTATCCTGTTGTATGCACAAGGTCGGCATGAACGAGGAGCTTCCATTGTGTACCGGCTATGGCAAAGCTTACCCCATAAAATGGACGGTGGAACATTACGAACAATCTCCTAAAGTACCCCGTGGAAGTACTGTGGTGATGATACTGCCTAAAGAAAAATCTGCAGAAAGGGCTATAACTCCTTAGCTTTACGAGAAAGACTGCCCACGATGGAACAGTGTTTTGTTTCGGCAATTTTACTCTGGTACCTTCGAGACCACCGCTAATTGCAACAGAAGTTTCTCAACTTTCGCAAAACTTCAGGAATTGAAACAATCTTCGGAGCAACGATACTCGAGCAAATCGTTTAAAAATCTGGAAATTTCAACGGAGTTGTGTTCTCTCAAAAATGAACGGCTTGAGAATGTAGGTACTCTCGGAATTACCTAATATTGCGATGTAAACTGAACTCTCTTATTCTACATCAAGAGAAGATGCGAATTACGAAGGATAGAAAGGACTTATTGGGGAAAAAGAGGAAACAGTATTGTCGGTAACTAGTTATGATTGCTGGGATATTATGAAAATGAAACACTTTGAAGATAAAGCGAATGTAAAGAACTCGTTTTCATGTCAACGAGTTCATCTCCAAAGTGTACTACCCCGCGAAACCATCGAAGCGACGATTAAGGTTACCAGCCAGAAGGATCGATGGGGTGGAATGGAGAAACAACTTGGCGGAGGGACAAGACTCGTGAGTATATTTAGAGGCAGAACACTTCAAAGGGACAGGGTTCAACGCTGCTTAATGCTCATTGAGATGAACCAATATATGTACACTGACATATTTCAAGAACGGACCACCCCTTTCAGATTTAATGTAATGTAAATATCAGCGGAGAAGTGCAAACACCTGCCAATTGGCCAATTAACTGGTCGCGTCAGTTATAAAGAAAACGAACGCTAGAAAAAGTCAAATGTTTCCGCGAAACAGACGTCGCTGAATAATTTCGCGCAAACGGTTCAATTAAATGAGAAATTGCTGCCAACTCGAGCTTTCACTTTTACTCGGAAAAACATACCGTCGATATTTTATTTCAAGCTTGCACGCCATATTTCTGTTACCAACGTACTAATTTATTCATTGACCACGTGAATGAAAGTTATGAAGGAGTGTAAAATTTTCAAGAGATTTCTCTATTGCTATATTCATGTGAAGAAAAGATCTATCTGTTTTAAATTGTTTTAAAACTTCCTTTCGTTAAATGTCGATGCAAATTTGTAAAAACAACTTGCGATCTCTTACAAATTTGTTGCCAATTTTAATTGTCAATTCGTCTTAATTAGTCATTCTTCTTTCTTCTTTATTTTTACTGTGCTGTTCTTCTGTTTCGAAAATTTAAGAATTCGATGTTCCTTTTTTAATACTTCTAATTTTTTTTTACATTCTTTATAGGTATTTTAACAAATCACAAAAATTTCTATACTATTACATTTTGTAGTCACTGCAAAAATGAATTTTTCTCAATTTTTCGGCCTTCACATCAGAATAGCCCTTTAAAAAAACAAAACTCTTGCTTATCACTTACTGATACGATACTCAGTATCAGGTGTTTAAGTTTAACGCGTATCGTACCGAGCCACAAAAAAAAGCAAACAGAGATCCGTAGGAAAAACACAAAAAAAAGAACAACATTGTGCTGTATACATTTAAAAACTCTCGCTGTTTGTTTACAACACACGTATTAACGATTGGACACCGAGAATCGCTGTACGCCAAATCTGAAAAAAATTCTACCGCGCATGATCCGTTATCAACCTGAGCATACTATTTTCAGCTACCTGGGTCGTATTCATATCTCCTCGTAAATGGCACTTTCAGCCCCAAGCATCGTTCGTATCTACTGATCGGTGTGAAAAAATCACTTTTCATACACATCGATTAAGTATGAAAAACGTGTACTGGTAAGACACATGTGCAACTAAACGTTTTTAAAGTATTTTGTTTTTAATTTTGTCAAAAAGATCGACAATAGTGGAGCTATTTCCACGAGTAAATCATGAAAAATTGACATACGGTCGCTCATTAGTATGTAATATCATATTGATTATCCATAAATATTAATATACCTAATTACAGGTGTGCAGACTGTAATAATTTATCATTTGGAGCATTCGTCTACAATTTCCTCCTGTCTTATTAAACTTACTAATTATGTACAAACACAGTCGTTAATGTAAGACGCAGCATGTTTCATATTTTTATGGAAATTTATTAAAAAATGAGAAAATGTGTAACTTTTCAATTCCCATTTATATTAGAAATTGCACACATATTTAACATATGAAAAATAATGGTTTTTTTTATATAGAATAA